ACATTTAAGTTACACTTGACTTATGTAAAAGTCATAATTATGTAATTAAAGTATGAAAATGTATCAATTAAATCTTGTACAATATATATTTTAGGAATTATCAAAACAGTTCTTCACATTTGGTCCTCTGGAATCATACCGACAGACACAGTCACTGTTCAAGTCTCATTTTGATTTGTACACCAACAAGAAGTTCAATGACCGCCAAACAGATGTGAATGAGGATGATCTACGAACAGCCCTCATTGAAGCTAAGGTTATGGAGGAACGGTAAGGTTTTCTTATAATATACTATATGATATCTTTTATATATAGATTATAAAATTTTCCCTTTAGTTGAGCTAGGAATTGGGCATATGGTATTAAAATTAGGTATGTGGATGTTTTAAGTGACCTACAGCGACATCTGTTGTCAGGAAAATAAAATTGATTCTGGCATACTTTTTATTGATATCTTATTAAGTTTTAGATATATTACTGTAAAGTTTAATCAATACCTATCTATGGAGTAGTTTTCTGTGTGAAAGAGCATTAAAAATCCATATACGCTTACAAACATTTACTTATACTATTTTTGGGATTATTTGCAAATCTCATAATATATCTTATTCTTATATTTAAACAAATAACGCTAGAAATAAAAGATTCCCCAGTATATCTTATGAAATAGTAACAATTAACCATACAACCAGTTATCCAAGTTCTTCAATATGAATAACAAATTTTCTCATTCTCTATTTCAGTCTCTCTGATGCTGTCTGTACATACATAGAATCCAAAGCCGAGCTGAGCGGGGAGCTTGCCAAGTTGATGCTTGTGTCTAACTATAGTCATATACATTCAAGTTAAATTACGTACGTATATAAATAATATGGTTAATTAACATTTTTTAACCAAATTGTATTTAACCTTAAAAAGGTCGCTGGGTCTCACTGGATCCGGAAGGCAGAGGACCGAGTGTTATGGCGCGTGTTGGGAGAGGCCTATGTCCAGCAGTGGACTGCAATAGGCTAAATGATGATGATGATGATGAAATTGTATGTGACTTTTTCATATTAAGAATAGATTATATTTGACATTCATTAATAATCAAATTATATAAAAAAAAACAAGGTCAAAATTTATTTTATTAAGGTTCTTCGAAATTACTAGGAGATGCACCTATTTTATTTCGCGTCATTAGAAAAAAAAGCTCTAGGCACTAGTTGAGTGAATCCTTAGATTTTGGTAGAGAAAGTTTTTTTGGATATTGGTTCTGTTTTCCTTTTCCAAAAAATTAAAGTGGAATTCTGATAAAAATATTTTTTGATAATAATTAAAATACACCCTAAACAACTGTGCTATCTCAAAATTCTCTACTCGATCGTACATTTATTTGCTGAGATTATATCCATGAATGACATGAGTATAGCATTTTGCTTGTTTCATTCAATAAATTTACTAACTTATATTTCCAGGGTTTGTTCATTGGAGGCTCAAAGTGCCATCAGTTTATTGGAACAAGAGGAGTGTATATTGGAGCAACAGTTACTGTCCACAGTCAAACATTACAGCGAGGCCCGGAGCAGGTTGGCTGTGTCCACAAGTACTACCTCCGCTATGATGATGAGGAGGTCAGTATAACTGGTGAAGTTACATCACATATATGGAAATGAACCAGGAAGGAATTAATGATTTAGGGTCTCTAAATGTCGGTCTATTTGTTTGAAATTTTAATACATTGTAATTTTTTATATTTTCTATTATTATTTATATACATATTAATTTGTAAAGAATTAAGTTACTATAGTATATAAATTCTTGATTTTTGTATTGTGTTGTATTCAATGACGAAACCTAATATAATAAAGTGATCTACGTATATTGTACTTGACATCATATTTTTAACAATAACGACAAAGCCCTAACAGCAGACCAGCTGAGTGGTTCCAAAAGACATTAGTGTTTCAAAATTCCGATCCCACATATGCTTGCAAGCAAACTGTGCGTGTAATATTCCTATTAAACCTAACAAACGCCCTGATAGCCTCGAAGACCTGAACCGATTTCTAAAATACATAGCTAAGAACACTCCCGACGGATATACTTATCAAACAAAATAACCGCATCAAAATCGGATGATCCGTTTGGGAGCTATGTTACCTCAGACAGACACATACACACACTGACACACACATAGAAACGTAAAACTTAGAACACCCTGTCGTTTTTGCGTCGGGGGTTAAAAACACAACAGTAATGAAAAAAATATTAATGATTTTTGTATTTATTTTCCAGACAAATCTACAAAGACCTATCATACCTAGTGGATGTATGTCAGCAGGCTGTAACGTTAGATCGTCTCGTGTACTACGCATTAAGCAGGGAGCTATGTACTATGGAAGATGTAATGCAGTTCGCGGCTCATCTACGCTTGTATGTGATACAGGAGAGTGAAATAGTTGCTGATAGGATCGTGAGTTTATGCGTTTTATTTTCAGTTTTTTATAATTAAAGAGGAATAGCCTTCTAGGGCTTTGAAGGCAGCCCTAGTAGTAGTTCAAATTTGGTTAGGTAGATAGAGGAGCTTGGACAGTGAAGGTGAGCGTTCAACGCGCGATAAAAACTTAAACCTACACCTGGGTTTCAAGTCCTAGGCACTGTTGAAGCTCCTTTCTTTATAACGATGAACTCGGCACCCGCACTATGAATACATGGTACATGGAATGCTAAGAGGTTTCGTCTCTATATTATTTGTATTGTGTTCGTAATTAATCAATACATCCAAATTCATTATTTGGATAAAATCATTATTTTTAAATAAGGATTATCATATAAAACCATAGATAGATTTTCTTTTAGCATCAAATGAAAAAGATTTAGTGCTGCCATCTAGTTAAACTTAAGTACAAATATAGCAAAAGGTGTCTAGATTTTTTTTATAAAACCTTATGAAAAGAAATAGAATTTTATTATGACCTACTTAATTTCAGTTTCGGATTTGTTTCTAAGTTTTTGGAATAATTCCTATGCATGATTTTAATTTTATGCATATTTCTTTATTGAAATATATGTTATATACTCATTTATATTTTTTTAGAAATCAATGAATGGTATATGCACAGAACAAGAATATGTTGAAAGAAATCTACAAAAATCTAATATTTTATTACAAAGTTTGTCTTCAATACTTGGAGTAAATAGTACAGATGTGTTATTATATGTTAAGACTTATAATGAATTGATGAGTAGAGGCAGCCAGTTGAAAGAAAATATCACTGAGGAATATAAAAGAAAGGAAAATAAATTGATGCAATAGTAAGTATGATTTTAGTGTGATTTATAATACATATATTAATTTTTTTGTCTTAGTACAATAGGAATTATTTTAACCTATGTACAACTATTTATCAATATATTATATAATAATTATTTAATGACACAGTTTTAGAAAAGTTATTGAAAATAATTATTACGTCATTCTATAACCACAAAAAACATATTTATTTACAATATAAATTGTTTCGCCTGGTAGCCATTAACTAAAATATTTTATGATAATTAGTAACTTGCCCCCTTTGCCAGAAGTAATGCGACATGCGATAGGGTAACAGAAATATTAAATTTCATCTATTATACAAAAATTAATTTTCCTAAATCGTTAATTTAGTTTAAAATTCATAAAATATAGTCCTATGTCATAGGTTTCTTGAAAGATCAAAAATTCCTTAACAGCTCAGTTCTTTAGGCCCAACTAATTAAATGAGTAAACTCATAAGTTTAATAATAATACATATATTAACACTCAACATACTGACTTAGTATTAATAAACATATATATAATATTAATAGCTAATAAAACTGTTATAATAAATTTTCAGTAAGAATTCATTGGCTCACCTAAGATCCTACATATATGAATGTTGTACAAAACAACCAAACTGCAACAACACAGTCATTTCAGCCATGAGTCATCAACTGATACAAGACAGAGATGTTGTGGATGAAAGGATCGTTGAAACAAGTGTTATATTCAATGATATGAAGGTAATGAAAGATACTTAGGTAACTTCTAGTAAATTAGATAGTAGGTAACTAGTGTTTACTATCAAAAGATTAGGATTGTGTCATAGTGTGATAACATTGTGAATTTTAATAATAATATTTGAATGAGACTATTATTTTTTCGATTACTACGAGTATTTTATTATTTTTAATGGTCGAAAAGATGTTTACCGTTATCACAGTTGGTGAAAAGTGACAGTAACGTCGGGAATATGTAGTTTTTAAAAATAATATAATAACGAGTATGTAGTAATCAGAAAATTTTTAGTTTTTATTAAATGAATATACGCGAAAGTCTTACATCTCATTATATATATTTTTTTTGTATTTTAAACGCAATTGAATTGACTCTCATGACAAAAAATTATAGATAATAATTTGAAATATTGAAATTATAATTATTTTTTTCAGAAAAACGATAAACATAATATGAGGAATTTGTGGCAGTGGTTTCTTACAGACCAGTCAAAACTGTTAGCAGCTATCAAGAATATAAGAGGATGAATATTGTTATACTATAATATATAATAAATAGGTTTAATTTTTGGTATAATTTATTTAGTATTCTGTATTTGTTTAATCAGTACTATATATTTTTTTATTACTAGTTTTTGCTCGCGATTTCGCGTTATTTCTGGAAATAGTAATATATGTATAGCTGACTGGGCGAACTCTATTCAGTTTCATTTTAGAGTTGTTTTTCTCCTTGCGAAGGTGAAAATAAAGATGATTCATATTGAACATAATTTAATTATAATTTATTTAATAACATAAGTATAGGAATATAATCTTATGGTACATACATCACATTGATACAGTCAAAAAATATAAAAATGACTATACATAGAACAACCTCAATGAAGCATCGTTTAAAATATTATAAATTAGGTAAAAATGTTCTTCTTTACTTAAAATAACTTAGAGTACAGTTTTTTTGTAATTTTTTATACAAATTTTCAGTCCCACGTAGGTCTTGGTTTTTTTCTAAGCAGAGTGTCTTCCGGTGATATGTGTATCGGATTTGTAAAATCAATTTCTATATTTTCTGGTATCGTTTGAAAATATGCGCTCCCTCTTGTGTTATCTGAAAAGTATTGAATTGTTTTAAGTAGATAATTATTAACCAACTTGTTTATTTTATAATTTCCCACCCATTTTTGACAGCCCGTTATATTTAGTACACAAAATGTCATCAAAATAATGTCAAACCAAATTATTGTAATAGTTACATAAAAGATCAATAAAAGAAAAATTTACGAATAACATAAAAAAAATTCTAAGTTTGTATATTTGAATGATCCTATTAAAAGTGCCCATTCAGTTAATGATGTACAGAAACTTCAACAGAAGAATGCTTTGTAAAAATAAATACTTAGAATTCCTAGTTTGTAATTGTTAAATTGATACTGTTCTAAGACTTATTCATAACTGTTAAAGTTCAAAGTTTGTTGGACGATGTAAACTTGTAATACTCGTATTAATAGTCAATGTTATATAGTTACCAGTTAAGTTGAGCCTAGCTATGATATCCTCCAGGTGTTGTCTGTGTAGGGTCGTTCTAACTGTGAGGCGATCACGATAAAGACTGCGACGATGACGGACGGAGCCGCGGTTCAAGAGAGGCAGAGTGAACACCATCTCGGACAAAGGAGTTAGATCCGAACCGAATTCCTACAGACAATATTAATATAAATATATACAGAGTTTTTTTAAGCTATGGCTGTATTCGCACTGTAGTTGTGGAATATTATACCAATGTCATATGAAGTTTTTATTCTGTGTGTACAATATACAATAATTTTATTGATTAAATTTAAAATGTTATTAAAACTCTGAAGTCGTGATCTAGCTGAAGATGGATTGCAGTGTGTTTGGATTTACATTGAAAGGATCACTTGGTAGGAAAATATATTTTTTTTGCGTGTGATTTGTAATGTTTGTAGTTTTCATATCTCTATTTTAAGAAATGTTAATATTTGAAAGTTTTAGTGGTATATCTCTTTTAGACAACTTTTTTTATACATTTTACTATGATGTGCCCTACCGTTCAGAAACACGAATGCTTATAATAAAATGACTTAGAAGGGAATTTAAAAAGAAAAGGTCAGAATAGACCATAATTTATTCCCCATATATATCTTACCAGACACTTCCCACTGACGCAGTACGAGTTGTTCCCGCCGCATGATGTGCCGAGCGGGAACCAGCCGTCCGCTCCGTTCACCAGGTAGAAGCGATGAGACACGCGCTCGTCCTGACACGCCACGCGACACGGACGGTCTGGCTCCTCTGTACACACACACACACACACATATACATTAGGTTCGTCGTCTATGTAACATTATTTGAGAATATATTGAACTCAGAACATAAGTTCACCATATTCGGTGTAGCCGTTGGGACTATAGTGACTTTTTATTCACTTGCTTAATCTTAGTGAACTTTATATGTACAACTATCTTAAGTTAAAGGAAATGATGGTGCGATCGGTGTAATAAGAGGTATTTTTTTAAAGATTTCTAATTACTCTTTATAGTAGGTGATAGTATCCATAGATTCTATGTTTTATAAAATTGTTAGCTAGAAAAAGAAATACTTATATACAAATATGAATAATTTCTAAACTCATTAATGGTTACATGTTTTAAGTATCATACAAACAAGTGTTTCCATATCGAAAAAACCATGATAATGTAAACTTTTTAAATTAATTTTGGGAACAATGGAATAATAAATAAATATATTAACAGTAGTATATATTCACCTAATGCAGGTGATATCTGCATGCCCAGACCGGAGAGTCTTCTCACACGTTCCTTGTACTTGGAGCACACCATAGTAGCGAACTGGTAGGGACTCATGTGGTCGCTACAACCCTATGTGAATTAAACTACTTATTATATGAAGTAGTGTATACACGCGACTTGGTCTATGTTTGATATGCTAAACTTTGATGTTCTAGAATATGTTACTAGGTGCTTATAAAAATTGATGTTGTGTTAAAATCGTCACTTTGTTTTTAACAACAGGACAAGTATCTAAGAAGAGGAGTTTGCAAATAATTTTTGTAATGCTATGGCTTCATTCGCACTGAAATTGTGGAATATTTTGCTAATGTCAAAGTTTTTATTTAATGGACGAAAGAATGTAGAACTCTTCATGACTTTACGTATCCTCCTTACACAGGGGCCATGATAATATTTGTATTGTTCTAATTTTAGTACATTTACTGCCGAAGCAAGAACCTACTGTTCATCAGTTTTTTCATGAGTAGTATAATTGTAATTTCTGTCAGTAACAATAACATTTTTATTTGTTACTTATTATTATTGGCCAACAAAGGCATATTGTGAGGAGTCTTCCTTATGCTCCTAGATAATATTAGTGTATAAGGTGTCGTTATGAAGATGTCTGACATATATATATATATATATATATATATATATATATATGTATATATGAGAATGTGTCTAACAAAGAATTTCCATAAATATATATTCTATTATTAATATATTTAACGACATTGTTATGAACACTCCCTATAATTCTATATCTAGTTTCTATATGATCTATATCTATGAATGTGTCTCTGAAGTAGTCTTCATTGGTACATTTCTATACGAAAATGCCTATGAACCTACATCTTTAGAAGTGTCTATATGAATGTATCTTCTCTCTATTATACTCACTCTATCTGCGGTATCGGTGTCTGGTGTACACAGCTGTATGGAGGTCCGCTGCTGAGCCCTGACCAGTCTAAGGCCGGACCCTCTCAGCATACAGCGGTAATGACACGCGGAGGTCGCGACCCACCGGCCAACCTCACGACGCCACGTGCCAGATGACTTACTGAACGAAAACGTTCATACAAATATAAATATTCCTAATATTCAGATAAACATAGTCCATATGAGCAAAAACTTTTTGGAGAGTCCGATAATATGAGAATTCTAATGAATAATGTCTAAATTTTGTTTGTTTTATTGTTTTTAAGGAATTCAAGTAGAGATTGAATGATTCTAGTACAAAAAGAATATTTGTGGAATTTATTGAATTTTCTTTGGATAGTAATGAAAGTATTATTAGTAAATATTCTGTTATTGGTTATCTTGTTTGTATACTAACGTGTGTGGTGTCGCCGTCTGTACGTGTAGCGCTTCCCACTCACAGTCTGCGGACGCCAGACTGAACTCTGTGTCTGTGTTGCCGAGACATGAGAATTTCTACAAACACAATAAACTTGATAAGTAGGAATCATTCAAGAAGAATATTAAACATTATAATCGTTAGTTTCAAATTAATAAAAAAACATCGCTAAATCTTTGTGTATATCTTATATGTAAGAAAATTAATTATGATAGCTGGTATACCCACACATAATATTTTTTATCTATAACGTCTATTTTTACTTTCACTTACCCTACAAACTCCACTAATACAGTATTTATTAGCTACAGTGGAGCAAGAAGTTCCATCAGGAAGGGTCCAGCCGCGTGACTTGTACCCGCCACCACGAGTGTCGCACCACACGGCACACGTACTGTGACTGTCTGACATATAATAATAAATGTGACTAAGGCCCCATTCACACTATATAACTCTAGTTATACATATAGATTAACGTCCGTATTTGAATTATAAATTAACGTATTATGTTAGCGTGGAAGAGGCCTAAGATTTGAATTTCCTCCTTCCATTAGTATTAGAAAGTATATTTTTCTAATTAGAAAATAATCATCATCAGAATATCAGAGTCCACTGCTGAGCAAAGGCCTCTTCTCACATAGAGAAGGTTTGAGCATTAATCACCACGCTTGCTCAAGACGGGTTGGTGATTTCAAACTTATAATTTGAAATTGAAAGTGCAGTTACCTCTAGATGTTTTCCTTCACGTTCTGTCAGTGATGTCTGAATAATGTTAGAAAGTACATATGACTCGAAAAATCACATTGGTATTCGCCAGGGCCCAGTTTCGAACCCGCGCCCTCATACATGAGAGGCGGGTCTTTAACCACTAGGCCACAACGACAATAGAATATAAGTCTAATTATAGTATATAATGATGTATACCATCAGTGTCAAGTCTCTGTAGTCCGGTGCCGATGAGGTCAGGGTCGACGTCCCTCGCCCGGCGGCAGATCTGGTCCGCGAAGTCTCCTACAGTCATCCTCGGAACCGTTTTACACTGGAGAGGAAACGAAAATTGGAATTGTTTACCAAATATTGTGAGGATAGGCTTAGATTTGATTCTTGGTCGAGTTGGTTTCCTAACCTTTTGTATGTATCAATGGGTATATTCTTGTTTTCAGTCTTACCTGTTCCGCGTGGCAGGATTGATATTTTTTGTCGTGACCTTGACAGTAGCTTTTGCCGCTTTCAAGTCTGTAATAAAACGGAATCTTAGACTAATTGAGAGTTAATGATATCTTAAATTTGAGTGAGAATTCATTTAAATAAAACAAGACTTTCGGACAGAACTCGCGTTCTTTTGCAGCAAAAGTAAGTCCACGTCGGGAGTATGTAATTTTCAAAATGATATAAAAATAATTTTAAGTATTTCCGAAAATATTGGTTTTATTTTGAAATACATTTATAAAAGTAAAAATTCTAGGACCTATAAAGCCTTATCAAAGCCAACCATCGTTAACTATCCACATATCATTTTCACAATCAGCTGTTAAGTGTATACATAATCACCTCGGTCTGTTACACCGGCGTGTGGCGACTGATACTCCAGCCGCGGCGAGTGTCTGGTCCTCATGCAGGAGACAGGCGGACGCACACTCCGACCACCTCGACCAGGGACCCCACCGCGCGCCCGGACCTCGGACCCCGCGACTCACGCACTCTCCGCCACGACAGTACTGGGATAATACGACTATATATCATATAACCATACAATATTTGTTATACGGTTCATAATATAGGTATGGGAAACGTGAATATGATGCTCTAATATTGTTTGTTTGCATAAATATTTTGTTATATAGAGGTTCATAATGTTCTTTCAATGATTAGGTGTGGTTATGAATATAAGAATGGGAAAAGTGGATATGGTGCTCTAAATTTATTTGGTTGCATAGACATTTTCATTGCGTAGAGATTAATTCATATATCCTACAATGATTAGGATAATTTTAAATACATCAGATTTTTAACCCTTATACTTGCTTTCAAATGTTTTCTTAATTTAAACGATATTATATACAGATAGTTCTTACCATATCGTCTCCACATCTCGTCCCTTCAAGTGCTGGATGTGAGGTCCAGGTGTATCGCTCCCTCTGACAGTGCAGGTCACGACACACGTCCTCCAGGTCTTGGGCTGCGGAGTGACGACTGCCGCGACCGTATTTTAGCATACCTGGTGGGTTTCTTGATTTAATTCATGCACAAGTGACCAATAACAGTTTGAGACCCAGTTTCACCAATCAATGTTGTTTATTCTAAACACAGCATTTACTAACCAACCTACAAAATTATAAATGTCTGTTAAAATATTTACGTCCCACGATGACAAATTAACAATGCATTATTAAACGTCATGTCAAGTGACCGACTGCCAAATTATTCGTTCTTGTTATAAGACGACCAAATGGAAACTATAGCGTTTAATACGGCACGTTTGCCACGATGCACCACTTTATACTTTGACCGTTTATATTCCTCGATACGTCACTTGTTAGGTAATGCGACTAAATTTTATATATCGTTGGTTGCATACATTTGGCACACAAAAAGCTTTCTTTTCAATTTACTAGGTGTAACCTGACAAAGTCTGGTTGTCAATAAATTGTGTTATATTATTATGTTATAATTAATATAGGCATGAATTATGTTCAAATTATAAGAGAGAAAAAGAAAATTTAATTTGCAATGTTATAAAAAGATGGAGGCAAAATCATCATAGGAAATGAAATTTTAATTAATTTTATTAATAAGTACAAGGAAATAGTCGAAACTGACAAAACAGATGACGTTACTATGGTTACAAGAAATCAGGGCTGTGATTGGACAATTGAGTTAGAGCATCAAACGCCTTAACACGATGCTACTTATTTAACATTGATTGGTGAAACTGGGTTTTATGTATCGGTTTTGATGATTAATTTGAAGGATATAATTAAATATCGTAATAGACGTAGATATTCTAATAATATTTTTTCTCTACTATACTAAGAACAAGATAAAATTTACTCTGTACAAATTTATTTTTATTTTGACAGCAACATTACATTTTAATAACCTAAGACCCAGTGTCACCAATCAATTTTTGTTTTATCTAAACCCAGCATTTGCTAACCAACCTTCAAAATTATAAATTTCTGTTAAAATATTTACGTCCCCTGATGACAAATTAACAACGCATTATTAAACGTTATGTCAAATGACCGACTACCAAATTATTCGTTCTTGTTATAAGACGACCAAATGGAAACTGTAGCGTTTAATACTTCACTTTTGTAACGATGCACCACTTTATACTTTGATCGTATATATCCCTCGATACGTCACTTGTAAGCTAATGTGACCAAATTTTATATATCGTTGGTTGCATACATTTAGCACACAAAAAGCTTTCTTTTCAATTTACTAGGTGTAACTTGTCAAAATCGTGTTGTCAATAAATTGTGTTATATATTATTGTGTTATAAATATAGACATAAATTGTGTTCAAATTATTAGAAATAAAAATAAAACTCAATTTACAATTTCATAAAAAAGCTGGAGGCAAAATCATCATACTAAATGACATTTTAATTAATTTTATTAATAATAACAAAGAAATAGTCGAAACTGACAAAACAGATGACGTTACTATGGTTACAAGAAATCAGGGCTGTGATTGGACAATTGAGTTTCGACAATGCATTAACAGTCATGTTAGCCATTAGACGGAGCTCCAGAGTAGAATTAATATTAGTGGTTGGTTAAGACATTTAAACGGACATTTGTGCGTGGTGGGACGCTCGATGCATCCAACAGAGCATCAAACGATCGATGTTATTCATCTAACAATGATTGGTGAAACTGGGTCTAATAATATTAAAAACCTATAAAAATGAATATTTTTCATTTTATGTTTTGTGTCAAGTATTGTGTGACGTATTACATTGCTGGTCAGCATCAAATCTTTCTCCCGGCAGTATGCCCTCAGCGCTGTGGTCCAGTTGCCCGGCGGAGTTACCATGGTCCAACAGACATCTAGACTGCGATGTGCTGCAATATATAAGGGTGGAAATTTATTGTAAATCAAAGAGCTGCTATTTCTTCTACTTCGTAAAGATCATTAGAACACAAAATCAAAGAGTATATATATAATATTTCCTGGCATGCTTCTTCTAGCAATGTTTGGTAGTAGAAATTAGTTATTAGTATGAAAATTGTAGTTTATAAATATGAAAGTGTACTAACTCTAGAAACTTCTGTAGATAGTTCCTACTGCATTGAGACCAGGTGATCTTTCCACTGCCGAGGGTTGGGCTCATGATGTACGCGCTCGGGTCACAGCTGTTGTCCGCCTTAGGACCGTCGTGGCGCATACCCAGGCTATAAAATACAATATAATATGACGATATTACCTCTTTTCATTATAGACACTTCTGTATTTTCTCCTGCTTTTAGGTTATCTTTCTTTTACGTGAATATATCTAAGAATATCTCTTAATGTAAACATAAAACAAAATAAAGAACGTAACTTTCGATATAAATCTATAGGATGTAGTTTCTAGACAAAAACAAATGTCTATTATATTTTTGTTAAAGAGAATCTATAAATTTATTGTAATGCGACATCCAGTTCCAGAATCCAGAAGCGACAGTGTATCGTGAATTTCATCTAAAGTAAATGTGTTTCATGTATTAAATCTATTTCTTACTTGTGACCAATCTCATGCGCCACGACATAAACACTTTCGAAGTGTCTCCCTTCATTGACTGTGCAACTACTGGTTACTGTGCACATTCCCGCCACTGGTGCCAGACCTGGAGTAGTCAAAGAACAATATAAAATAACTGCTAAATTGAATATGAAATTTATCATCTACAAACAAGTAAAAGATATTAAATTGTACTATATAAGTAAAGATTTTGGGAGGATTCAAACTATTTGACTTTTTTCAAAATAATTAAGTGTTGTTTTACTGTTTAGCTAGTATTTACTTACCGACAACTTGACTGCTAACTTTACCATTCTTGTTAACAACGTATAAATCTAAACCAGTGAGTATTAAGGCGTGGTCCCAATGCAATGGGTCGTTGTCACCGGGAGGATTCTCCAACCTCTGCCACGTACAGAAATTGCTTAAAAACCTATCTATATCATGAGGTCTCTTCAAATTGGATGGATCCTCATGAAGGATTTCCAATCTCTTAAGTATAAAATTCACTGGCCTACCCAAGCTTTGATCGTGATATATCAACTGCACAGCATTTATCATTGCTAAAACAAATCTCACTAATTCCCTTTCTGTATCTTTTGGGAAGTTGATTGTCATTAGTTTGTATAAATCTCTATCTACGAATACAGCTGTTTCTACAAAAATCGCTGGCAGCACTGATCTCTTCTGTCTATCAGTTTGATTGCCCTTTGTTACTAATTTTTCTACAAAATCACTAATTGTTCTATTTCTATGTGCTAAGTTTAATTTGAATTTATCTAAACTATCGTTATCTGGACTCTTTTCGACTTCACGTTTTCGTCTGTGTTTAGACCACTTCATATCATCATAGTTTTTTACATCTAGATCATTTTTCTCTATGCATTCTTTTTCTACATCATCGCTTGCTAGTATTTCCTTACTTCTCTTTATAATTAAATGAGCTTTAGAATGTTCGTTGTGGAATCTTTCTGGCAGTGGATGAATAGTATAAAAACTATCATTTGATTTGACTACACCTCTCTGAAAATCATGTATTACTGAATTACTACAATTACTTTAACAAAGTTGCTATATAACTATAATATCTATCATATAATTCTTACCACATCATCACAGATATATAATGCAGCGTTATCACTTTTATAGAAACATAAATCTAATTCGTCGTTGGTGTGTTCATCCAGAATAGCTTCGGTTCCGTTGGACCATCTCTTCATTAACAGGAACTGGGGATCTATGAAGGTGTGCCTGGGGCTTAATTTGATATTTAAATGCTTCTTCAGGCTGACTAAGTCCTGATGCTCTTCTGTGTCAAGTGAACGTTTTCGACGTTTCGGTTTTTTTAGATGAGCTATCTCAAACTGATGGTCTGCAAGTAACATTTACTCGTTCAGTACTTTCCATACATGATAATACTTGTAAAAGAAGTAATATTTTACTAATATATAGCTTACCTTTGTCGGTGTTTCCAAATAGAAATATTTTCTCCGATTCTGATAAATGATGTAACAACTCTTTGGATTCGACCTGATAAAAGAAAAAAAGTATATAACAACCAGCAATGTACATGACATTGTAATTTAATCTCAAGTTGAATATTACAATATTAATGATGTAAAGTACATCTTAATTTGATGATAAAAATCAAAGAGTATATGAAGTTCCTTCAAGTCCAGGAAGCGAAATGGCATTGGATTAAAAAAAAATAAGTGTTACCGACCGAGCGAACTCGTATAGCTCACTGCAAACTATTGTTTAAATTACCATTAAATGGAAGAACCTCGACACTTTTGACAATGACGGTTTTTCACACGGACGGTGTGTCTAATCGGAATTGACGTTTGGAACATGGTTGTAGAAGATATTGAATATATTCAGATCAGAAAAAAATTAACTCAGTAAAAGAATGGCTTATGATCAAACCACTTGCCTCTCACTTGATAACTCCGCATGTTTTACAATTAAATGAATTTAAGTTCAAAATCATTCTTCTGCTGTTACTTCTATACCATTTAGACAAACGTGACTTCATGAGGAATGTCTATTGTCATCTGTAGAGATAGGTTGTAGCTTCAGATTGTTTGTAAAGTAAAGAAGAAAGGATCAAAGGTTTTGGAAAAAAGAGGAATGTTATTATAGTTTCACCCTTTTTATTTAAAAAAAACTCATTAATTTTTCTTTTTTTCGTTCTTACTTTTCAAATAGGTTTGTCTCATTTAGGTTACAGAACATGTAATATGTTTTTTCTTTGAAACAATATGTTTCACGACATTCTAAAGGTTGCAATCGTAGTATTAGAAAGAAAAATCTTTTCGTTTTCATATATTATGTTTGGTATGTGTTATACATATGTAAGAAGCTATGGTCTCTGTGTTAAATGCTATGATAGTTTCGTATTTTCTTTTCATATTCCAAGTTCCTTATATAAATGACTGCAATATCCCTAAGATGTACAAAAAATGCATCTATTAATGATATGGATCGAGTTTTATTTTCAATTAAACTGACTAGAAATTTATTAATAGTCGTGCAATGGTAATATTTGGTCTATTTCTTTTAGTGTTGAAATCTGGCTAGACTTATTAAGAAAACAATGAAAGTGTTTGATACGCGCGGTTAGCTTTACGTAACGAGATCACAGAATCTTCAACGGTTCATCCCATTACACGGTGCAATACTTTCTGAAGAACTTTGATAAGACACTCATTATTGACGCAATAACAGATCTGTCTTCGTAATTGGAAACTTTGAATTATACGGAAACATCCATTGGGAAGAGTAAAATACTGTATATTTTGCATTGAACTATTTGAAAAGTTATTAATTGTATTATAAAGTTACTTTAATTATTTTTAATACAGAACACGATGAGTTGAATCGACTCGGCACATTCTGATAAGTATAATAATTTAGTACTCGTTTTTGAAGCTAAACGTAATTCTTTATGCTCACCCTAAGATAGGGTCGTCACACTGTATATTAAGCTTTAACAGTTTTTATTCATAAAAACATATATCATAGTACTACCGTAGGTTATTAGATTAGAAACGGAAAACGGAGTGTAAGAAGTGTGATGATGAAGACTTGTGGTAAGTTTACTGTTTTGAAGTTTGTTAATTTTTTTATCTTTCCTTTATTGCAATAGAAACGGTAGTTGTGAAGTAACACACTGTTATACTTCAAGGTGAAACGAACAAAATATAACATTAAGTTGCCCGGGAAAATTAATTAGCTATTGCTTAAAACAATTTTGATTAGGTTTGCTATATTTTTTTTTGTTAAAATTAAATGATTATGGTGTTATAAAAGTAATATTTGTGTAAATTATGGTATATTACATATTATATATTTATTTTTTATATTGTTTGTATGCATCTAATTTTCTAATGAAGTTAAAATTGCTATGAAGTTTTTTTCTAAAGGATTTTGTTCTTTACAAGATGTCAAAAAAATTAGTAATGGTATATATTCGTTATAATTCTTATATATTTTTATATGTTTTTATTTCAATGCTGTAGGCATTGAAAATTAAATATCTTCGATGAAATTGTTTTAGGATTTTTAATAACGTATTTCTTCTGTAGGTTTTTTAAATCTTTCCTATTTAATATTTTCAGAACAGCGAAATCTATTTTTATTGTTTCAATTTTACTAAATGTATTTATTTTGAAGTACTTTCCAAGGACCCAAAAAAACTTGAAGAGCAACCCCAAGTAATAATTAATATAATTTTTTTGAATGAGGTCGCCAGATATTTCGCAAATTTCAAATTCCGGTCACAATGTAAAAACAAATGTCAATGTTGCCTTGACAATTGGAGTGAAGGAATCTAATATCCATTCATAATAAGTCACGGTTCATACAATGATGCTATCACAACTCAGCTGTTGGAAAGGCTTTAACATTATAAATACCCGAAAGGAGAATTTTAACCGACTTCAAGAAACGTAGGTTATGAAATCGATTTGATTTAATAAAAACTTTAATTATTATTGTGCCTAAAATAAACAAATTCTTGAACTGATACCATGATACACTAAAATAACCTATTTTTCCGAGTCATATGTACTTTTTAAGAGTATTTAGATATCACTGATTAATGCACTCCCAACGAGAGTTGTTGTCAGGCAAGCGGCCAGTCGTAATAACAATTAGTCAAAACTATTCACAACATGTAAGGCAGACCCTGGCTAAAGCTGGCAAATTGGCAGGTAGAAGAAGACTGAAAATAACCTAATTGAGTACTTTTTTTACTTTAGCAGATAGTAGGTATATATTAATACTGACGAAAATTGGCATCATTTACTAAACCCAATGCCAGTATTTGCTGTCTTAGAACTTTATTTCAAAGAATCTCATAATATTAATATTTTATAAAGTTAAAACCATAATTCACGGTGATTGAACATGTAAGTAATGAACACGGAGTTCATAAATAATGTGCACAAAGCAATTTTGCATACGTATCTGAAAAATTACACGAACAGACGCCTTTGTTTGAAACGTGCATAATTAAATTGCTTTGTGATTATCTCAAAGTAAACTTGGATTTCATCGATGGTTATAGGTATTAAGTATTTAACTTATAAATGTGTAATTTTCGTTGAGACCATATAATAAGAGAGATATGAGAGAAGAGAAGAACCATACAATGCGGCTAAGTTAACTCTGTCTATAAAAATACTTATTGCTTTCTAATATTTGATGTTCAATTTTTTATTCTTTGTTAATAAAATCGCTCTAGAGTCTTTGCTTTTTGAGTATATTTGAGCAATTTAAACTAGTGCCCTTTAACTGACTTTCTCAATAAATAACCGAATGTTTTTGAAACAATATTGAAAAGTACCGAATATTGTTATTAAACTTTACAGTAATACAAATTATATATAAATGAAACAAAAGTTTGTATATCATACTACATACGAAGTGTTTCCCGTTTTTCATTCAATAATCCACGTTAATACTATAATGTGCGAACTACTGGCATGGCGATGCAAACTTCTTGTGAGCATAAATTTGTATTTTGTATGAAGTCCCTGAAATAAACGATAGATGGCGCTCCTAAATTTATTATTATTTTCTCCGAAGCCAATTACGGAGTCCAATTAACAAAAGCTAGTATATAATATATTTGAAGAATCGTTATGAAGTAAAAGTAGAAAATTTATTTAATGAGAAAGTGTAAGTGAAGTGTTAGGTGAAATTTTAATTACCTCTCGACCTAGATCTCAAGATTATATTGTGTGGCAGTTGATAGTGAGGTAGCGTCATAACGTCATATTATAATGATGGTATATAATTGATGTCATTATATAGTTATACACCTGATACTACTTTGTTTTTTATATACACGCAAAAATACAGGGTCAAAGCGATATTGTTTACTATAAGTGCAATCTAATTGTGTTCGGTTAAAGCTGTTTTTTTAGCGTCATTATATCCGTGAAAAATATACGATAATGTATAAGTCTTGTATAGGTTTGATTATGAAAAATGTGATTTACCTATATATATCTTATATATGTATAAAATTCTCGTGTCGCGGTGTTAGACGGAGAACTCCTCCGAAACGGCTGGACCGATTTGATAAAATTTGATGAGCATATTAAATAAGTCTGAGAATCGGCCAACATCTATTTTTCATATCCCTAATTCATAAGGGTTGTTCACCCTTAATTTTTATTTTCGGACGAAAATATTTTGTTTTTATTTTTTTATAATGTAGCATTAAAAATACATTCAAGCCAAAAAAAATTTCTTATTTATCACCACCCCCTTTTTTTTTATATGGCAAAAACAACGTTTGCCGGGTCACCTAGTATTTATATTAGTATAGTTGTTTTCAATGATTTTTATAAGTATAACTGTTACTTAAAATACTATTTTACGTATACAAGTACGTCAAGCCTATATGATTTGTTTCGTTTAGTGCATCATATACAACCTTAAATCGCGTGTCATAAGAATGTAAAATGACTATCAATGCATCTGCAATTTGAAAATTGCGATTATGACCTTATTTTTCTAAAGGTCGCTTCTTTGTTTCATGTGGAAACTATATGTAGGAAGAAATAATTTTATTCTCGTATGTACATATGTGTAGTTATTTTCTATATAAGGATGAATGTTACCAGAAACTTGGTCTGGTAATTATTAATATTAATTTAGACAAAATTTCTCTTGCTGGTACATAATTTTTATAATTAAAAGATATAAATATCATCAAAATTTGGTTAGGTAGAGAGAGGAGCTTGGACGGTGGAGGTGAGCGTTTAACGCGCGTTGGATAGGGGTCCCTTAAACCTACACGTGGGTCGCAAGTCCCAGGCACTGTTGAAGCTCCTCTTCCTACAACGATGGACCCGGCATCCTCAGGTAACTCCATGGAATGCTGACAAGTTTTGGTCTTATTATTACTTTTCCATATTATAATGCTTTACGGTATTTTTTAATTGACTAGTGCGTCTCGTTGTTGCACATATGACACAATAACTCATTGGGATTAACGCGGAACAGTGTTAGGAGTTAGCAAGTGAAACGAACAAAATAATTAATACATATATTTTACA